CCGTCTTCCCCTTCATTGCCAGTTAAACTTACCTGGTTCGGCTTTTCCGATTTGGGTGGGCTGTTTACGCATGATGCTTCTGGAGTTGTTAGACGACTAATCCACGGTCGCTGTGCACCAACCCAAGATTACCACTGGGCGCCTGTTTGTGATACTCGTGCGGTTCTGAAACCATCAAATCGTCATTCCGATACTTATTTCATTGTCGGTGTTGTCGAATCTGCAGACACCCCAGCAGGTACTCTTTCAGCAGACCATATCGCCTCCGAATCAGACAGAGAGGCTCCCGGAATTGGCCAGTTACAAGCACTCTATTGTAAAGCGTCAAAATGGCCAAGAGTATTTCCTCGTCCTGTAATTTGCAGTTTGCCTTTTCGCTTGCCGCTATGTTCCATGGATACAGATCAGGGTAGTCTCGAAGTGAGTGGTGTTTTTCTCTCGCAATAATACGCTCTATCTTCCTACATTTGGCTTGCAATTTATGATCCCTTTTTATCAGAAGAAGTAGTCCCGCAGTTCCAATGACCACTGTGGCTCCAGACATCAAATTTTCTACCTTTCCGTTCCGTTCAGCGGGTACTCCTTAACGCATATCCCATTTGTATTAACTGTTTTCAGTCGTTAGTTTTGTTAACAAAATTTCTAAAAGCTACTAATGTGAATGTAAAATTATTTCCAGACGAGAAACCTAAGGTAGACCAACTTCGTTTATTTCATTTTAGACCTGACTTAAACAGGTACGTATACCCGACGTGTTTCTGCGTGTTTTGGTATCTGCGTTTAAGGTTGGCTGTCGTCTAAGAAGATCATAACCTATGTTTGTGCGCTTGATGCTTTTTAAACACCAGAGTGAGTGGTGCACTCAATCGTCCTTTTGATGTGTCCAATTTTTGCAATCGCAAATTCATAATAACCTCAGTTAATAGAGAGGTAGGAGACACGATAAAATACATGCACTTTAACAATTGAGAAGACGTACCACAGGCGGAATGAACAATTGTAAGAATCCACTTTACTTCATTCAATAAAGGACGTTAGGACTCCTGAAACAGCCCCAACGGGCCTTGGAAATCCCAGCACCGAATTTCGACCACTTGCTCTGATCGTTAGATACACAGTGATATGGCTGTGTCGTAAACAGTGGCGTTCGTATATCTCCTTCGGCTTTCCTGTCTTTCTGCTACTGTTCATCCCAATAGGCAACCAAGGGACAGCAACCAAAACCGGCGCACGAAAGTGCATGGTTAATGGTTGTACAAACTGAAACTGAAAATTCTGACAGTCAAGCGTGTCAATTTCTCTGCCGCGTCATGCACAGTGATGTCAGTGCGTTCCAGAAGCCCGTACTCCGGGACGTCTCCTCTCATTCACCTCATTTCATTGTGATCGAACTACACAATCAAATACCTCCAGTCGGATATTGCAGCCACAGAAAATGAATTCATACTGAGGATATATTTCGAAACTTTCCAACCTCAGTAAACATGACCGACGCAACCCGTGTTTCAATCTAGTGTATACACCACACCACTTTGAAAATATGTGCAGTTGGCTTAGCCACATCCTGCCACGTAACTATATGAAATAGATGTCTATCATCCTTGCGGGCGAAAGTTGTAGCCTTCCATAGGAAAGCTCCACCATCTGCATCATTTCTGGGCAATTTGGTCCCATTGCTCAAAGCTCGTCCCTGAACAATAAAGCGACAGTATTGTTCGCACTGAATCCCTTAGTTTCTTATGATGAGCACCAAATCAAACGAAGTAGATCACTTCCACCGGCTTGCTTTGGACCCTATGTTCTGAGGTACTAGCCTCGCCACCGCCACCCAACTTCGATGGTAGACGGCTTTCTTGTCATCCGGTTCAATACCGCGCCTTGCCTTATGTAGTTCGCCAATTCAAGTCTCGTGGCTTAGGTTGCCGGTTTCCATCACCTAACAGCAGGTCCTCGTGACTATGGGGTTCGTCCCGTCAGCTGTTCGTCGCACTAAAGTACGCAATAAGAAAACTCCCAGGTGGAAAACTGTTTGATCTTGGGTATGCACACGACATTCTGCTACCAAGTCAAGATCCAGGTAAGTTGCAAGCTTTTCTGGATAGTTTGAGTGCGAGCGTAGCGATGTTCGGCATGCGCTTTGCACCTTCAAAGTGTAAAATGCTGCTCCAAGATTGAGTTGGCCCAGTCGCCAGCCTCACCCTGACCGGGAAGTAGTAGAGGAAGTAGATAAGTTTTGCTATGTGGGCATCTATATCTCACCTGGCGGAAGCATCACAGATAAAGTGTCGGCGTGCATACGAAAGGCTCGGTTAGCATTTGCCAACTTGAGCCATCTGTGGCGCCGTTGCGACAGGTGTAGAGTTTTAGGTAACCGCGGTCGTCCACTGGAACAGGTAGTCGACCTCCATAGATGCCGTTGGTTGGGACATATGCTACGCATGCCACCAGATAGGTGACCACGGCGAGCGATGCTTGGCCAGGCAGGTAGCGGTTGGAAAAAATGAAGGGCGACCAATCTTAGACCTGGTATGAGGGTATGAAATCCCTGACCAGAAGACTGGCTCACGTAGGTCCCGTTAGGTTCCCTGGACGGGGACCCAGAGACCATTGTCACCGGTGGTTAAAGACACTTCAGTGATATGGCCGGGTGTCGCAAACAGCGGCGCTGATGCATCTATTCATTATTCTGGTAACTTCAGTCTATGAAAATGTGCTACCTTTCGCTTAAATCTGCTCTCAACATTCTAATCATCATTCTGCTATTTTATCTAAATAGGCAACTAAAAGACAGCAACTAAAACCGACGCACGAGAGGCTATGGTTACTGAATTGGCCTAGTTCGGTTGGTACTGCTCTACGGTGCAGTGACTTAGCCATTCAGGAGGCAGGATAAAGTTAGACTGTCGGTGTTTGAACGTCGCTTTCTATACAGTGTTGCACGAATCTGGTGGAACAGTCGGATGAGTAATGCTGAGGTCAGGCGCAAAGTTTTAAGCAACCGCGATCGCCCACTGGGGCAAGTGGTCGACTTCCAGAGATGACGTTGGTTGGGGCATGCGTTACGCATGTCACCAACTAGGTTGCCGCGGCGGCTAATGTTTGCCGAGGTAGGCAGTGGGTGGAATAAAGCCAAGGGTAGTCAAGCTAACACCTGGCATGAGAGTATGAAAACCTTACCCAGGAGTCTGGGTCACATAGGTCCCCTTAGGCTCCCTGGTTGCGGACTCCGAGGTGATGAGAAGCGATGGTTAGAGACACTGAGTGATATGGCTGTGTACCACAAACAGTGGCATTCGTGCATCTACTAATTATTCTCCTAACACTGCTCTATATGAATTTTCCATCTTCCGCTCGAATTTGCTTTCAAGATTCCAATTTCCATTCTGTTCTTTTATCCACATGGGGCACCAAGAGATAGCAGCCAAAACCGGCGCACGAAAATGCATGGTTACTGGTTGTAAAAAGTGAACTGAACTGATGCTGTTGCGGTANGTTGCGGTAGTGTTCCTTTTTCTTATAATTCAGTTTTATTGGCGCTTTTTATCATTTCCTTATCGTTGTCACGCAAACTTCCAAGTCGTTATTCCGTCTGTATTCACACACTCTCCTTTTCGTTTATGCAGGACAGCTATTTCCGATATCTGATAAGCGAGGATTGGCCTTCTTGGGGTCCCAATCCCAAGGCACCGTTGTGCACTGTGGATACTAATGAATCGGATCTCACTGATCTCTTCCAATCACTATCGGCCAAAT